AAATTCTGTGTTTTTCTGTCAATATGGGGTGCTGTGTGTACATTAATGAGGAAAAAAATGAACTTAAATGATTTTAGCATATGGCTGCAATATAACAAAGAGTGAAAAATTTAAGGGGGTCTGAATACTTTCCGTACCCACTGTATATCAGATCTGGGTTGACTGCTCATTGTTTGAAAGCATTTGCAGCATCAGGTTGGTGGCGTTTGTGACAGCTCCGGCTGTCGTGTGCTCAGACAGCTTAAAACAGATGCCAGTAAGGATAGTTTGGTAAAACCTCTTGAACCCAGAACTGATATGAATAATGCTGTTGTCAGCCAAAGCTTCTTTGCCCTGGCATACTACATGGACCCTGCTGAGCACCTCCTCAGTGATCCTCAGTCCTGCTGACCTTCTTCCTCCCCATGTCAGACCAGGGTTCCTACACAGCTCTGGAAAAGCCTGGAACATTTACATTGGATCGTTTCCTGGCCTTAAAATATTCAGGAAATAAGAAGTGTGGCACAATGTTAAAAGCTTCATATTTTATTATATTAGAGGTAAGGTGAGTCAGCTATTACAAAAGTAAAACGAGGGTTGCCTTAAAACTGTTCAGTTTGATTTGATGGATTTCCATTTGCATGTAGCATTTAAAGGTACTGATGTGACTCAGAAAGGTCATAATTTAAAAAAAGAGACCTTATTCATCTCTAGTGGCGACCACTGTTGGGTTGTACTATGTGTGGGAATGTTGAAGCATGTCACATGACTCACCTGCTAGTCAGCCTTCATACCCACACAAGAAAAAGACGAGGAGGCCAGTCTGAGCAATAAAATGTGTAGGAACCCTGTCAGGGACACAGCTGGGAGTCGCCACTGTTCTGTGTTAACCTGAGTTTGGTGTCGATGTCAGATTGTATCCAGTTTCAAAGCGACTACATCCAGAGCGGTGTGTCAGCTGGTCCGGGAGTATGTCGGCCACAGAGATGGCATTTGGGACCTTGGTGTCACCAGGACACAACCCATGGTGCTGGGTACCGCATCTGCAGGTATCTCATTCACTCTTTCTCCTCCAATATCTTTTGTGTCCAATACACTGTCCATCCCATTTAGTCCTTTTCCTCTGTCTTCACATTTTTTTGTTTTTGTTTTCTGGCTCCGACCAGTATCATCTAAATCTCTTATTTGTTACGTCTGTGGGAGGATGATGTGTCTCTTATTGGAATTTATGCCAGTGGTGTTGTTGTCTCTGTTTTCTCACAGTCCTTATTATTGTCAAATCAAAAATATCTGTCTCATTTGATGTCTGAGTCGCCAGTTCATTTCATACTAGATTTAACTTAAGAAACTTTGTACTGCATTGTATTCTCCCAACAGACCACACCGCGATGCTGTGGAGCATTGAGACTGGGAAGTGCCTCCTCAAATATACAGGCCATCAAGGATCAGGTAACGTTATACTGTAAATGTGCAGTAAATTTACAGTACTTAAATTCCCTCACACTGAACTGTTCTCACATGACACAGCCTTTGTTCCTGTTGTTGTCTGACACATTTAAAACGATGTTTCATTTGGTTTCAGATTTTATGTAGTGACATACTTGCATTGAAAGCTAACTGAATATTATAAGTCTGTGACATGCAGTGTGTACACTATCAGGAAAGGCCTTCTGTCAGATTGTTTTAATTCCCTTCCAATTAAAAGTTGTTTCTGTTAAAGTGGCTAAGTGACAACAAGAGGCAAAGCTGACTGTTCCATCCTGACAAGATGCATCTGTCTTTGTCTCCACAGTCAACTCCATCAAGTTCCACCCCACTGAGCAGATGGCTCTAACAGGTAATGATTCATCACCCTCACAGATGTAAATGTAAACAAGCCTGCAGCCACTTTCAGAATTAACTAAACATTTGTCTCTAACTACACTGCTCCCACAGCTGAAAGACTAAAAACAGAAAACTGTCATATGAAAAGTCAGAATATTTGTTTTATATGAATCCAGTAACTCAAGTAAAAGCAAACCTGCATGACCCCGCATATGTCTTGGGATGCAGACAGGTCCAAATTATGTTGTAGTGGTAAACTTGTCTGCATATATCAAGACTCAGGAATGGCCAGCGCTAAACGGTCATTAGCAGATCTAAACCAGCAGTAGCACAACACAGAGCCTGGATTTAGCTCCTGATCTGTCAGGAGTCGTACAGGGAGGGTCTTCTGTTCTGTTTCATATAACATTTTGTCCTCACCCACCTAAAGTAGGATGAAGACAGTTTACATATACAGAAGAAGGTAGTAAAAGGTAGTTTGTTCTGAGAGACTGTAGTCAGCCTTGTTACTGCAAACGAGAGAGTGACGTGTCCTTACTTTGTCTCAAGGAAGAATTATTTAGCCTTTTCTGTGTTCCTCATTTTTAAAATAAAATTTTATGTTTTATTTAGTTTTCCCCCTTTTTTACTGTTAGTTTTAACAACAAAGTACAACTGGCCACACACTGGCGCATCGGTACTTAACCCACATAGTTTTTGACTACCATGCTGTAACAATGGTTGTGTTGAATGTAACAGCCCCTTCTCTCTTCTCCTCAGCCTCTGGAGACCAGACAGCTCACATCTGGAGATACATGGTGCAGCTGCCGACTCCACAGCCTGTTGCTGACATCAGCGTAAGCATCGACACCCTACATTCTGTTTGTGTGTGTTACTCTGCTGCCGAGTGAGTTGTTGTTTAGTCCAGGGTTGTGTCTGTAACAGCAGCAGACACCCTGCGAAGATGATGTGGACTTTTCGGATAAAGACGAGGCCGACGGCGAGGTCGAGGGTTCGAATGACTGTCCCTCTGTTCGTGTGGCGATCACGACTCTGCGCAGCCACCAGGGGGTGGTGATCGCTGCTGATTGGGTGGTGGGGGGCAAACAGGTGGTGACGGCCTCCTGGGATCGAGCTGCCAACCTGTATGACGTGGAGACCTCGGAGCTGGTCCACTCACTCACAGGTATGATGATGGGACTGTTACTCTGATTCTGTGTTTGTTATTAAATGTTGGCCAGAGTCTGGTCAAACAGCCGGGCATGTTGTCAGCTAGTGTCATTTGATATGAACTGTAATGGAAAGATGATTATTTGGAGATGGTGTGTTATAAATACAGCACAGTCAGGACAAACATGTACGGATGCAGCAAAAGGTAACTGAAATAAACAGGAAGGGGTGGAAAGAAGTGTGTGAGGGAGAGGTTTCTGTGCTTATCTGTGCATGTGTGTGTCCAGGCCACGACCAGGAGCTGACCCACTGCTGCACACACCCCACCCAGCGTCTGGTGGTCACTTCGTCCAGAGACACCACCTTCAGACTGTGGGACTTCAGAGACCCGTCCATCCACTCCGTCAACGTGTTCCAGGGACACACAGAGTCAGTCGGACACACACACACACACACGGTTTCTCTCACCTGCTTTCATTGCCACTTGTTTTTATTTAGGTTCTTTATGTCGGTTTTGTACATTCAGGCTCTGATGTATGCATTTTGCCTGTTCAGTTTTTTTTGTCTAGCATTGTTGGGAGAGTAGGTCTAATCAGCTCTGGCTCTGAACTGAACTGAAACAATAAGAGGACATAAGTAAATGAATACAAGCACAGAGTATGTGGATAAAAACATGAACAGTACAACATTACACAGAGAACAAAAGTGTGATTGGTCATCATTATGACTAACATCTACACCTGAGGAACTTGAAGCACTTGTCTACTGTACAAAAAAATGTTAACATCTAAAGTTAACATCTGAATGATTTAAACTAATTTGGTTAGAAACAAAACATCATAATGGAAACTAACTAGCTGTTCCAGCTCAGTCCATGGAAACAAACCTGTCGTCCTATGTAGCACGGTGACGTCTGCGGTGTTCACGGTGGGGGACAATGTAGTGTCAGGGAGCGACGATCGCACTGTCAAAGTGTGGGACCTGAAGAACATGAGGTCGCCCATAGCAACCATCCGAACCGACTCTGCTGTCAACAGGTCTGTGAGCGGCACACCTGTACATAGTTGAGCGATAGGCACTGAAGTGTGTGATGCAGATGTAAACTAATGTCCTGTGCCGTTCCTGCTTTTCAGGATCAGTGTGTCAGTGAACCAGAAAATCATCGCTCTTCCTCATGACAATCGGCAAGTCCGGTTGTTCGACATGTCCGGGGTACGACTGGCACGACTTCCACGAAGCAACAGACAGGTCAGTCAGTGCAAGAACAGACTGATGAAATGTACAGGTGGGTGACAGCTGAGAGGCCAGACCATCACCAGGTGCCCAGCAGAGCCTCATCAGGGCCGTGTCTCCAGAGCAGTGTCAGGTCTCCTCTGTCGGAGGGAGGAAACCTCCTCCTTCCAAACCAGATCCCTTCACTGTGTCCAACCCACTGTGTCGTACTCATGGAGCCATTCAGTGACGCAGAGACGCCAAGCAGCGCTGTCAAAATTCAGCTAAAGTTAACTGTTATTTGAACTAATTTGCTCAGAAACAAAACACAATGTGAGGAGCTGATGCTTTTCTTTGTCAGACATGAGAATCAGCCAAGTCTCTGTGGGTCTGTTGGATGGACACAACGAGACACGTGAAGACGCCACCTTTGGCTCTGGAGAGTCACAGTAGGACTTTTCATCAGTCAGATCACCAGAACAGTGATCAGCTGATGATGGCAAAATAAAGAGAAAAAATGAATAATAAAGCAAATATTTTGTTTTGCAACAACTTGTATTTGCAACAATTAGTCATAAATTGAGACGCTGTATTTCATCTGTACTTTACAGTGTTGTTTGTCATGCGTCCTGTTTTTAACAGCGGCTGTGTTGTCTGTCGTGGTGCAGGGTCACCGACGCATGGTCTGCTGCTCCACCTGGTGTGAGGACAACACCTCCTGCAACCTGTTCACCTGCGGCTTCGACCGGCAGGCCATCGGCTGGGAAAACCACAACCCCCCCCCTCCGCTGCAGGAGAAATGACCTCCACCTCCTCCTCCTGTAACCTGACAGTGATAGGCCACCTAGAGTTTGTGTTTGGAGTATCAAATACTCGTCACCTGTGGGCTTAAAAGGCGGCTGCAAAAAGTTTACTTTCATCCTTTTTGTCTGTGAAAACTTGTAACTGACGTAGTTTGAATGACTCAGTGAAGGATAAAATGACTGACTTTTAACAGCCGTCTGAACTCGTGCTCGCTGTCTAATGCATCTGTCACACTCTACATCACCGCCAATATATTCAGAACACATTTGTGTGTGTTTTTGCATGGCAACCATTTCTCATCATTGAAAAAAAAAAAACCCTGTGTACCACTGATGTAAAAAGCTCAGACGTAACAGCAGGAGGTTGTTTCTATTGTAAACTAAAAAGCATTTTGCTGCAGCTGAACAGTTAAAGAAGTGAAGTGCTGCACATATGTGTATGCTTGATGCTGATTTAATACAGCAAACCTAATCTGTCCCACTAACCTGCAACAGGAACAGCAGTCTGATGCTTTAAAGGAAAAATCCACTAGTTTTATACCATTAGATTTTGGTGTTCAGTGCTTTGCAGATGTTAATCTGTTACAACTTTCCTGATTTCTGTGACTGCTCTTGGTCCAAACCAAACCTTAGTCTTGTATTTAGCTCCTGTCCCTCGGGATCTCTAAGTAGGACTGCAAAACACTGATGCAAACAGGAAGAAGTTCCCGCTGTTTCATTCTGAGGAACTGATGCTAAATTCATCAGACCTTTTCCAGTTTTGGAAATCGCCTGACCACACAGACAGTACTTTTTTTTTTTTCTTTTTTTTTTTTACCAGTATTTCAGTGGATTTTTCCTCCTGTGTTTGATTCCAAAATGTTTAGTTTGCCACCTGAAATTTACAGCCAAGTATCTCTAATATACATAATTTAAAAATGCTTGACTAAATTAAAACAAATTTAGGCTCATAAAGTAGGGTTTCATTCACTTCAGAGCAGATGTTTCTTGTCAGATGACAAACGATCACATTTTGGAAAGACACTTTGTTGCTCAGTTCTGCTCAGTGTTCAGGAGTCTCTGTGAAAGCAAAGAGTGCACCTTAAAAAAAACAATAGCTGTTACAATTGTTCTTTTCATTGCTGTATTAGAGAAAAAGCTTTTGCGGCTCCTGTACATAGTCAACACCGTCAGAGTGGAAAACCACATTGTTTGGCACATACCCCTAAAAAGGATTTCATTATCCTGTACTGTATCAAAGCGGCTGTTAACAGAGATAAAACCAACTCTCCTGTTGACCTGTGAAGCGTGAGAACATGGCAGGTTGCTCCCCACTGAGGATACGCTTGTGCAGCTCAACCGTTTTCAGGCATGACTGTCCCACTACGTGTCACTCAGACTGAACCTGAGCCTTCGGTCACACAGGCGTTTGATGAATGTGTTATGAGAAGGTTGTTTAAAATGGAAGAACTGATGGAGGAAACATTTTATTAGTAACTAAAAAAATTATGCCTGCCAGGTGACCCAGTGGCTTTGGTATAAATAAGCTGTAATTTATGATTATTGATTACATTTTAATGGACTTTTAAAAATATATTTATCCCTTTTTTCTTTTTTTGATACCACAAAAATATTTAGATTCTCTCGGCTTTTCAGACCATTGTATTTCGACAGACTCGAAAAGCATTAAAAAGTTCATCTGGACTTGTTTCCAATACTAGGTGGCTAATTTAAAAAGCAATAAAGTTAAATAGGTGCTCCAAACTTTGCTCATCTGCACACCGATATTTAAATAACACTTGTTTTAATAATTGATGTTGCAGCAGTGTAGTTTCTAGCCTGGCAGTGCTCTTCCTATACCAAATTTTATAAATGCCTGTGTGACTGAACTGTTTGGTTCTGTCTGGAACCATCCAGGACCACGAGACTCAGTGTCACTGTCCTGTCTCAGGAGAACTGACTGAAATTCCTGTGTGCTGGTCAGTGTTTCACTCCACTGTGGATGTGCAGGCGAAGCTCGTGCTCTGCTGAGCGTGGCTTCTACCCAGGGCAGTGGTTTCTCTTTAGAGTAGCAACACTGGGCTTATAAACCAGAACTCCTTGTCTCATGTGTCAGTTTTGTCTCCTGGGTGGAGGTTTGAGTGTTTCAGGTCTGTTTTGCTTTGGTTTTATTGACCTTAAACTCATCCTACACTGATCCCAGTAGTAGTTTCTCCCACATGGTCTGATCAGCCACTTTCCTTACTGTATTTCTGGAACACACACACTGTGTCAGTCAACATGTTATGTCATGAAATTTGATTTCAGTCACCAAAACATTGGCATCAACAAATTAATGTAGATCAACTTTGATCTGCTGGAACTGATGCAACATGACTGTAAAAAAAATTTCTGTTCTGGTTTATAACAATGCCCTTTAGTCATTAGTGTTGAAACACTGTTGTGATGTGTTTGCTGTCAGCCGCTCTGCTTCCTCACTGTCGCTACAACACTCCACCAAAGCTGCATTTAAATGAATGGCTTGTCCCATACACTGTAATGGTGTGTGTGTGTGTGTGTGTGTGTGTGTTTGAGATGCTTTCACTACATTACCAGAACAAAGCGTGTGTGTGTCTGTATGGTGATATAAATCAGTGTCTAAAACAAGTTGTACTTTGCTGTACTTGGCGTGTGCTTTGACTGGCCTGGTTAGTTTGAGCGGTAACGCCGTGCACAACCACAGTTCACTTCCGAATCTTTGTAGGTCTAGCTTTAGAGTCATTAAATCATGTACATCAGCATGACAAATGTTTCTTCTGTCAGAGGGTAAAACCACTTTTGGTGGAAACCCTCAGTTTGTAGGTGTTTGCTAACATGTAACAGCTGCCTTTTGCAAGAAATGGATTTCTAATAACAGAAAAACACCATGTTGAGAGTTTTGATTTTAGCAGGTGTAACGACACCAAATCCATGAAGGTTTTCAACAAACTAAAGTGATTACAGTACTTGTCAAAAGGCAGTGGCAAAGTGTTAATCTTCTAACTTTGCACCATGACATTTATATCATATAAATTGTAATATATGAAAGAATGTAGCTGGTTTGGCTGTGTAGTGTATTTCATCTGCAGTGGTTCTATCCCTCATTACTTGACATGTAATCCTGCTTTTGTTTTTAATTTGTGTAAATCCATTTAACTGCTTCACGATTGATGTCAGGTCATTTGTAAAAGTTTTACATTCACATAAATCGAAGTTGATTGCCTTTTTTATAAAGGGGATGGTAAATGTAATGTCATTTCTTGGCGCAGCTGTCCAGATTAGAAATTTTAATTCCCCATAAAACATCAAAATGACAATTTAAAAGTACTGTGTTATCTAAAACAAACACTTGAGATTCAGTTTTTGGAACCATTTAAGCAGAAATGGAGTAGACGCCATTCTGCAAAAGCAGTGACCTCGGATTTAAATGATACAAGGTTTTGTGTGCATGAATGTTTGAACTCCACTTTAACCAGTACTTTGCAGACAGTTTAAGAAAGTTTCAGTGCAGTCAGCTGCCTTTTCTATCAACACTGAGCCACTGTTCCATTTTCATAATTCACCAGCTTTTAACATTTTCACTGTCAATCACAAGAAAGCCAGATCACATCAGCACTGGTCATCGTACACCTGCCATTTTGAAGCCTTGTAAAATTGTGGCTCCTCGGTGTTAGCGGTGTTGTGTGTGATGGAAGTGGTTGATGTAGAACAACAAACATGACAGTTCCATTTGCAATTAAAAAAAAATAAATAAAGATGTAAACCTGTTGGACTGACTCGACCACCGTTTTGTGGATCATAGCTGTGCACTGAGAAACAAGCATCTGCTTGTGTAATCAAAATAAACCATTTGTGCTGTTGGAACATTTTCTTGACTCATTTTGTTGTAGTCTTTGATATTTTTTTTTTTTTTTTTTTTTTTTTTTTTAGTAGAACACATCATTTTTTGACTTGTAGATATTTTTGGAAATGTTTTTTAAGGTGTGAAATGCTGTTCTTACATACGTAATCCACAGGATATTATTATTCAGGATAAACAAATGCAATAACTAACACAAATAGGTTAATTTATTCGCTGTGATAAAAATAGTCAAGACCAGTATAGACTACACACATTCTGCATACCTAATAGTAAAGGTTTACATAGCATTCAACACTAGTATGAGGATAACCAATAAGGGAGAAAAACAACAACAAACTGTAAACTCATTTGTCTTCAGTAAAATCTGGACTCCACGTGTTGTAATACACACAGTCTCCCTCTAGGTGGCGGTGTGCATTAACACTCCTGGGTTCCATATTCTCTGACACTTCTCAGTTCAAAATGCAAGGTGAAACACTTAAAATGATTTAAATTAACATATTTAAACAGGTGAGATGTGTACTTATACACGACTGGAATGAGAGTACTTTACCTACTCTTTTCTTAAAGAGAGCAAAACAATAAAAATCCAGGTAAGAATAAAATGAACATGTGATTTTCAGTTCAGTAGTAAACAAATCCAGAAGAGGATCCTAATAATAATAATGCAGCTTTTGCTTTGCAGTCTTCAGGTGAGTGAGGACATACATCTAGTAACAGTTACACTGTGGGGACTCGGCTCCAAAAAGCTAGTCCTTAAAAGGTAAAGTTAAGTTTTGGTTTCAGAGTTAGGGGCTTGGCATTATGTCCGTGAGGGTCCTCACATGTATGTAAATACAAACTTGAACACAAGAGATAAAACTTTCCAACAGAATTATCTTCACATATCTAATGTGTAGTGTTTTGAGCAGCAAACACAACCTTTGACCCTTAATTCACACTTCCAGTGTCTGTTTTCTTTGGGACTATGCAGAATTGATGCCATGTTTGCAAAAAGAAATGAAGTAGAAAACCTCCCCTTTATTAGACTGACCTAGGACCATACAGCATGATCCAGAATTGTTATAAAGTGGTATATTTAAGCTATTCTTGTGTTTGCAGGGATTTGTCAACAAGTAAAACGAGATCCAGTGTATGCTTTTAACTGGTTGAACTGGTGTATATTTTTAGATTTAATTTGGATGCTTAAAGATGTTTAAAGCCATTTCGCCATGTTTTTGGTGGTCATTACACATCTACACATCCAATTCTAACTGTGCAGTTCTTTTTTGATAGTTAAATATTATTACAGAGTAAAATTTTACTCAAACACTGTATATTGCTTAGATAAAATTATTGAACACCTTGAATGTTATTCCAGTGAGCCAACTAGCTAGCTAGGTAGTTACAGCAATGTGGTTATTAAAGCTGCACTATTTTACACACTGACAGTGGGACAGGACGTGGTGTCTCTCAGCTACCCCACCACCACCACACGCACACATCCACCCCGACCCTCTGCCGCCTACAGCCCTCCTGTTGTTGTTCCAGCTTCTCCATCCTGTGTTGTACGGGTCTGTAAATCAGCCCCGTCTGCCACCTAGCCAAAGTTAGAAGAAGGGTTTTTCCAGCCCCCCAGTAGTCATGTCAGCCATGGAGGAGCTCTGGGCGGCTGAAAGTCTGAACCAGCGGCTGCCAGAGTGAAGAAGTGGCGTCTTTTGCACAGAGAGAGTGGGACAAAGAAAGAGCAACAACCAGGGTTAACATGGGTTTGGCTGTTTGACATGGAGAGGGTTAAAAGCAGCCAGAGGACTCAGACTGGATTCAGATGTGGTGTTCTTCCTTCTGAATGTGTTAGCATCTAAAGTTAACCTGTTCGTTTTGGTACTGTAATATTAGCAACCTGCATTTTTTACAGTCTGTTGAACCCAGACATCCATAGTTTAGTTGTAGCTTTAGGAAAGAGGATGGAATTGAAGGAGAAAGGAGAGGTTAGGAGTGAAGCTTGTTTTAAGTCTCACTACATCCTCTAAGGTTAAAGCTAGCCAGATAAACTAGCATTAGCTTCCAGTAGTGATGTTAGCAGCCTTTAGGCTACATGAGCTAATAAACAATAAGAAGTCTATTCCAACTGTTGCCTAAATCTGATTTACCTATGTGTCTGCTGATGATTTCCATAATGAATTATTTACTATGCTGTGTCTAACTGGGCCAACATAGTTAATCATTTTTCATATAAGATAAACAAAGATGAAATTCCTGACTATGTCTACTAGTATCACATTTCTTGTGCCTCATCCACAAACTCACAAAGCAAAACACAAAGTTCACTCTAACCCTCCATACTCAACACAATGTTTCACACAGTGATGTCGAAGTAACTCAGCTCTGGAGGTTTTCTGAGCCACATTCCCAGACCACCACCCTGCAGAGCACTGGTAAACTGCTGCATCGCCCTCTGGTAGTGCCCAGCAGCCATCTTGGAACCAGAATAAGTCCTTGTTGTAGCTTCTGCACCTGATATCTGACCATTCAAATGGGAAAGAAAGGTGGAAACATGATTTGCAGTCAGTTTAATAGGCACAAATGTACAAATAAACTGAATTAGGGACATATCTTGCAATGTTGTAACACAAACTGTTTCTTACTATTTAAAATGTCAAGACAAAATCCAGTGACAGTCTGGTGAGTGGAGCACTCGTCTTTTTGTGTTTAGGAGAATTCATCTTGTTATCAGCTAAAAATAACACTTGTCAATCATCTGTTGTACCGTTCAGCCTCCACACCTCACCACCTCTTCCATCAAAATGGATATTTCACACAAGAGACATTTTGACTTCTTAATGCAGGAAAAGTCCAGGTGTAACTAATGGCATTAAAGATGGTTCTGCTTCATACAAGTTTCCCAGAAAGGCATGCTAGTAGTCCAGCAGCAGGGACCTGGAACTGACCCATGTAAACCATAGATAATGTCATTGGCCACACCTGTGTTTAGCATGTCAGAGTGTCAGTAATGAGAAAGGGCGATTAAAACTCTTCTGACTGCAGAGTGAAGTGAAAATTGCTGGCTAACTCGGTATGTCTAAAAGTTAAAATCCCTCACTCAAAAATGTATTTTACTTATTGTTCTTTGACTAATGTGGGAATTTCCCTTTGCAGAATGATGTACAGTATGTGCAGAGCTTTGACAACAGAAGGCTGTTTTCACATTCACCTGCTGAAAGTGGAAACATTTTCTGTGCTCTTATGCTGGTCTAACACTAGAAGACTATGATAAGTCTCAGATAAGACTTAAAAGACTAAAATCTATCACCCATCTAAAGCCAAAGTGTCATTAGTCAACAGTCAACTCATGAGTTTTTAGATGTAGACTACGATTTTGCAAGCCTTTTAGTTTGTTTATCAGACTGTTGAACTTTCCCTCCCTATGCATTAGGTTCCTCCCTTCCTGCCCGGTATTTTAATATGGTTGATTTGTGCTTGATTTGACATGTTTCAGCCAATTGGGCCAATCTTGTTCACTTGTACCAATGTCGCCTCATTTTACCCAAATTTGTACTATTTTCCCATATCTCACAGCTGTGAGTGGTAAATCCAAAGCAAAGATTTAAACAAAGCCGTCTCCGTAAAATTACATCTGTTTTTCACATTAAGAAGCTCTGAGTTCTTTTTTTCTCTCCGTCTGTTTTGGGCTTTGTCTCTAATTTGTTGTCTTTCTGCCTTGTTCCGCTTGATCAAATCATTTTGATCAATCATAGTCTTTAAAATACAGTATCGCTGTCTAAACCACTGTCCCTCCATTAGTCTCTGCAGCTGTGTTTTGTCTCCCTGCGTTGGAACCTCTTTTCAAAATGCTCTATGCCTCCTCTTCCATGTGGTACTGAGAGCAGCTTCTCTGACAATCATTCCAGTTGTTTCTGTAAATAACTGTGACTCTGTCTGCCACCATCAAATTTTAAACCAAAGTCATTTGGTCTGGCGCAATTCTCTCCATGCATATTTTAATTTCACAGTGCAAATTGAAACCTGCTCTTCAGAAAATTATAATAATGTAGCAGACAATGTGCTGTTTTTAAGATGGACTGCTTCTGCGTGCTAATGAATTAGCCAGCAGATCTCATCCCCTGTCTCAACTTTTACATGAGATTATGAATAAGTCAACTGAGGTTTTCAGTTGACTTCACCATGTTTTTTTTTTAAAGATTGCAAACTTCTATGATTCAGTTAAAAAGCAAACTTTTCCACAAAAGTCTCAAATGTGGACACAGCACAGTGAACTGGTAAAAACAAAGTTTGACTGCCTTTAATTTATTTTGCACTTTATAGTGACTAATTGATCAAACAGATAATAGACCTGATCTCAGTTTTCCACACAAAAGCAGAGAAGCATCCCCTTGCTCCTGACACGAAGCTGTACCGGTTTCAGTGTCATTCCCTCTCTGAGTGTCTCTGACCCACCTGCTGCTGCAGCCTCTGCCAGCGAGCGAACAGGGAGCGCCTGCAGAGCCGTGATTGAGTTCCTGATTCCTTCCTCCGTCCTGTGGAGGCGCTGATCTCCTCCAAGCCTCCGTCCCCACAGCTCCAGTTCACGCTCACATTTGGGGCCTTGCCTGCTGGCCGAACTTCACTGCTGCTCAGACCTGTGTAGACCGACAGGAAACCACAGGTGATGTTTGGAACAGACCATTAATGCTATGCATGCTCTCACAAAGCCTGACACAAGGTTTTGTCAAAAATAGTTTTGTTATGACATTTATTAGCAACTACTGGGTGGATTCCCATGAAATGTGGTTCAGACCACCCCCCAGGATTAAATCCCGATGCTTTATCTAGCACCACCTCAAGAAATATACTGTAGTTCACCATGATGTAATCCAGTCTGCATTTGGCAGGGTCAGACTTTGACTCAAAGTACAGAAAAAAGTATTTAAGTGACCCCAACATGTATTTATATATATATATATATATATATCTAGCTGATTATTTATTATGGATTAATATACACACA